TCAAACTTAATCCCTGAAGAATGGCTGTTCCTACCTGATGAAATGAGCATCAGCTTCAAATAAGACATTCCAGACAAAGCCTTGGTTTTGCAATTCATAAATGTCTGGTAAAAAAAAAATGATAGCTTTTCATAGAACCTATGCAAAAACCTAAATGACCATGGAAAGTAAGGAGACATAAGATGAATTTCTGAATCCTAGAGAAATAAGTGGAAATCAGATATCATTTTAAAATGTATCATTTCAGTTTACAAAAGCAGAGTCCACTAAAAAATTGCTGTGTATTACAGAGTATTTAACAAGAAAGAGATAGTGTGCTCTTATGTATCTGGAAAACAGAACATTAAAAGAATATCAACAATATTTTAGACAAATAGCCACAATGAAGTTTCTCTCCTTAGTTTATTTGGTTTTCTATCATTGATTCCTGCCCTACTGGATCTGATATTAGCTGTCATATGCAGTCTTCTCATTTGGCCTAAAATAAGTTCTGGAAATCCTGACTCAGTCCATCTCTGGTATACTCTGAAAGTTATGTAATCTATGTCAGCTAAGCTTTGATGTGTCAATAATTGAAGTGCCTGGTAGGGTCCTTTTCCACAAAATTCTGAGACTGTTCCTTCTTGAAGATACAAATTCTCTTGTAAAACACACAACTTATTCTTGTAAAACTGTAACCTATAAGACAGACTTCAGGGGGAGCATCATAATAAAATAATACTGTTTGTAGATGATAGGATTTGAAATGGCTATAAGTGATTTATTACTAATAATCATCAAATGTGAACAGTCCTATGGGGGTTCATAATAAGAATAACACAATAAAAACGGAGTTTAGTTCCTTCTGTGGCATGCAGAGCAAAGGTAATAAAGCCATTCCCCACACCCAAAATTAGACAAATCATCTAAGTATAATGATTAAATTTACTTTAAAAGAAGTTTGTGAATGCTATATCTGATCCAAGAAATATATGAAAATGATTTATAGAGGAAAAAAATATTGAGATATGATATAGAATGACCCTGAGATATTATTTTTTATACCAAGAATATCAAGTAAAGAGTAAGTAAGTGGGCAGTAACGTTTCTATTTTTAAAAACAATAGCTGAAATTATGACTGGTAACATTATCCTGCTATTGCCAGAACTCTGATGAATATAGGGGAAGCTGACTGATATATTCCTAGGAGCTGTGATCTGGTTTCCCTGAGGGGAAACCATAAGACAGCAAGGGCAATGGCATGACTCTGGGGACTTCCCATAAAGCATACAAAATTTCTGAAATACATTAATAATACTGTGCCTATACACATTTACCTAGGTAAGGTCATGCATCTCTTTTGTCTTCCCTTGGAATTTTACAGACAAAGCTAATTACTCCAAGAACCTCTTTCCAAAGATGAAAAAAGAAATCTTTATGATTTTTCCAGGGGCCCTCTGGGAGATCTCAGAGATATCTCTTAGGTGAAAAAGATGTATTGAAAGTTTTAATTTTTTCTATACCTGGGATCCAATTATGTAAAGGCAAAATTGTAAAAAAAATTGTCAGAAGATACTTAGACATTTGATTAAGATAGGAACAGGGTGCTAAAGAAATAATAGAGTAACTATTCAATTAATAAACACTTAAAACAATAAAAAATAAGATAAACATAAATGTTAACATGATTATAAAGAATCTAAGTTCTTTATAAGTGAGGAATCTTTGTTCTTTGCTTCTATTTTTTCTTTTTTTAATCAAGAATGTAATAAATTCAACATAAAGCACAGAAAATTATTCTTATAAAACATGGAATATTTGCTACCTTGTCAGATTACATAGAAAGTTAAAAAAAAAGAAAAGAAAAGAAAACCTTTCATATATTAGGCAAAGGAAATAACCAGTGAACCAAGAAAGCAAGCTCATCAAGATGGGACAAATTTTACCAAAATTTTAGCATATTTCATCCCTTCTTTTCAGAGTCAAATACTATAAATCAAGGCAAGTAAAATGTACTTCCAAATTTGCCCTTTAATTTGCTTTTTCATATCGGAATTCTCAGGGGATCCATTAGCTCAAAATAATTTTATGTTAATAGCAAGATGTTATTTCTATTAACATTTCAATGCATGTTCATCACTGTTACAGTCAAATGAACCAGTAAGTATTTAAAAATTTCCCAACTTTAACTGCCAGAATGGTAAACATTGACAGATATAGCCCACATGAAAGTTCTTTGGGGTCCTCAGTAAGACTCAAGATTGGACAGGGGTTCTGAAAAGGAACAAAAAGTAAAAAACAGCCTGAAAACTATTTATGTGTGTGTGTTTGAGTGTGGTCACTACTAAATACTACTACAAAACCTCCTTTATAGCACAAAACTACTTTCTCTTTGGAACACGAAAGCACATAGACAGTGGTATTAATCTGTCCCTATTAATCATAGTGTAATTGGAGCTGTTCATATTAATTGTGACTTTTAACCAAAGTAACTTCTATTTCATAAAGAAAACTAGATGTAGAAAATTAACAACTGTCTGTCTTCCAAATGCATTTTAACATACTAGTAAAGTTTATATTGCAACTTTCTATAGCCACATGCATGCCTTTTTAAAAAGACAAAATTAACGTGTTCATTGACATGACCCACGATAGGAACTTTCCGTGGAATATAAGCAAAAGTATATAAACTGAAGATTATGCCTAATAATTAGGCATCAGGTTTTCAATATTCTTAGTTAGAAAGTATGTAGATATCAAATGAATATTCATTATATAATTCAACGTAATAGCAGTCTAAGGACTTATGCTACCTAAGGTCTGAGGAATTATATTCAAGCTGACATAATAAAAAAAAATTTACTGTTGAAATAAAGTTGTCAGAATAATGAATTGCTTTTGTTGAATACAAATTTCTATTTTTCATTATCTCAAATATTGTATAGGAATAATGTTAGCTTTTTGACCAGTATACCTGAGTAAATTTAAGAAAAACCAACCCAAGTGGAATAAAATGTATGCTTATATTACACCTACCACTGATAAATCAGAGTACAAGTTGTTTGTATTAAACCAAAGTTATCATACCAGTCTGATTTACCAAAATTTTACCTTAATTATATGACCTTAAATTTTCAAAATGTTTCTGAGTTTCTGTAAGAATAACTTTTTGGATATAGAGCATTTCAAGTATGAAAACTCTAATTTACTCATTTTCATGAAATTTTAAACATTAACCACAGGTCAAAAGTAAACACACAAAAATTTATCAGTCTGTATAGAATAAAGTTGCTCTCTTTCCTGGTGGGCACAAGATTCTTAATTTGAGCTCAAAATAGACAAGTAGACAAAGAAAATAAAATACAAGTCAGATTTTCTGTTGTCTCTCACCTAAGGACAAATAAATCTCTATCTATCATCTATTAGTCCATTTACAGAGATCACAAAGATTCAGCAGTAAAACCAAATTCCTAATCATTACCATCACCAATAGAGAATAATTTATTGATTGTAAAAGTTCTAAAAACAAAAACAATACACAAAAAATAAAAAAGTGGAAAAAAAAGTAAACAAACAGAGGATCAACAAAGTGAAAGTTCCATGACTACTGCAAATTTACCTCCTGGAGCCAAGAAAAGAAATGCCTGTGTTTAAGTTATCCCTGAGGAACCACTTCTCTCCAGGAGCGCAGGTTACTGAGCCATCAGGTGAATCCACTGGGCATCACAGTGGAACTTCGGAAATGTTTACAGATAAATTTTTCTAAAAAAGATAAAATCGTGATTCTTATACAGGTATGAAATGAATGTGCCAAATATTTTATTTAATTCATTAAATATAGAGTAAACCAGAAAAAATATTACAAGCCATTCAAATGAGAATTCAAAAAACAGAATATATATAGGGAATAAGAAAAGTTGTAATTAATTTACAAACAGATGCAAAGCAGGTCCCAATACAGGGCAATAATTAATTGTATTCCACTAGGTACCATTAATTTGTATCTCTGTAGACAATATTTTGCTATCAGTTTTCTACAACTTCAAGAGTTGTGAAATAGCACAAAAATAATGAAAGGCAGAAAAATGTTGGAGGAGTGGGCCACTCAGAACACCCACATTTTTTATTTTACTCATTTCAAAGTCTTTATAATTATAATTATAAAAGATGGGTTCAATATATGCTTTCTCACTTGCACAAGAAATCAAGTACTGTGGAGAAAAGATAATACCAAAGCTGCTTTCTAGCCCCAGATATAAATTTCTTATCATATCTTCCTACAAGAAAAGAAGAGAGAGCAAGTAACATCATTCTTTTGTACATTAAATATGGAAAAAGCCCAATGACTAATATTTTTCAGTTGTAGATATTACCCAACTCTTATAGTATCTTTCTCTTCTCTAATCAATATCACACTGGCACATCTGAAAATCTGACCCACTAGGAGCTCCCTCAAAACCTGTAAGTATGATAGACTATCATGAATAAAGGTAAAAGGAACAATTCTTTTTTTCCACAGATTGTAATTTGAAGGGGGGGAAAAAAGCAGATCAAATAGTTCTTTAAGTGATGAGAAGCTTTTTATGAAACCTACAGGTACTTCCAATAGTTTGAATCAATTCCAAACTTGAGACATTTTTATTTGACAAACTGGAGATCAAGATAGGATTCTTTTTGATTTACTAACCTGCAATCACATGTGTTTGCAGAGCTCTTCACTGAGAATTCTGCAAAGTGACCCATGGGGATCAGCAGTCTAGACAAAAATGAGCCTAGGACATTCTTTAATACTTTGATCCTAGATATTTTCAGTAATGTCACAACCCAGGGCCCCAAAGCTCCTGATTTGAATGATCATCTCTCCTGAGAAAAAGAATCTGGGGAAACATGTGAAAATGTCTCCATGGACACATCCCTTTTAGTTCTGTTTGCTATAATACTGAAGCAAGAAGAAAATTCATTTAATGCCAATCATTTGCATGGACTGGACTGATTAACAATAACAATTTGTGTATTTTAGGCTCAACCAGGTGACAACTCTACCAGAACTCCTATCCAGACAGAACTCTACATACAAGCTGTCATTTTTGATCACATTTCCAGAAGAAAGACTTAACTAACTAACATGGTAGATGGTTCCCTGATGATTTCTTAAATTGAAATGAATCCTGTAACCAGAAGAAATTAGAATAATAACTGAGGACTCTAGCTGGAAGGTAGATTAGAATAATAAAAGTTGGTAAATTAGAAAGAAAACTGTAATATTGACTGTCTTTTTGCAGTACAGATAGCCTCTTAATCTAATTTGAGGTTTTTCTAATTTTCCCCCCTAATCCCTGAAGCTAACTGCAGCCAATTCATGAGAGAAAATTTTGTGCTACTTCAGAGATATAGTAATTAGTCCCTTATTTTGTAACTCAGATTTTCCAAAACAAAAATGTGTCACTTTCTGTTGCCAAATATAGCAGATGAAACCTTATGCCATGTCTTAGTGCTATATCCTACGATTTTTGAATACTGATAAGAGATCTCAAGTTGAAGAATGGGCATAAGGAAATATAAATACAAGGTATTCATTCAGTAGCATTAAATGAGTAAAACCATCTGAAAAATCCCATGAGATTATGCATAAAATGAATGCAGTATTTGATATATCGTTGTGTCTAGAACATTTAAACCTCATGATAGTGAAGCTGAAAAAATGAAATCTAAAGGAAATCAGAAAATTTTAAAGCATAAGAGAAAAAGAACACTCTGCTACTGTGCCCCTGCAGGTGGCTTTTGTGCAGAAAAAATATTATTCAGGGACCACTTGTGATTTAAAATTAATATTTGGGCCTCCATTTTCTCCTCTCCACTCCCTTCTCTTCCCTTTCTATAATTCAGGATAAGGCAATTAGATGAGGCCAAGCAAGGTGGAAATCTGCTCCATGTACAGGGTGGGAGAGCCCTGAGCAAGGTGTCAGAGCTCCTATGGGGTGAAAAGGGTGTATGCATGGGGAAGTGATGGCCTGGCATGAGGTGAGTAGTACAATGAGTACTACTCACACCCAATCAGAGTAGAGTGGTGTTAAATTAGAATTGGATGTATTGCTGTGATCTCATTGTTTTCAATATACAACTGATAGAGAATATATGTTAATGCATGCATGCCTACCTATTCCCTCACTCTGCGCCCTGGGAGGGCTTCAGAGCAACAACACCCAATGTCAGCGAGCACACTGGCACCCAGATCTTAGATACTCAATGCCATTTTCTACCAAAAAAAGCCAGGATCCTTGGGAAAATGACTGATTTTAGGGCTGAGGCAAGGAAAATACAAGAGGCTAGAACATCTTTTTGTGCCAGAAAGCAAAGAAGTTCTTGAAAAATGAAGGGAATTTATCAAAAGGACACAGAATCCACATTGAAAAGGTTCCCACTGGCCAAATCAGGGAGAGTTTGCACATCAAAATAATTAAATGATAAGAGCAGGCATAAAACAGGAAACCATGAGTCCATTCTGATCTACATAAATGAATAAAATGGAAACTTCAAAGAGGAAAAGATATTTACGTAGTATTTCCCGCAAAATAATTATTAATTATAGAGGGAACAATGGAAAAGGCTGGAAGACACCACTTTCAGTAAGTGGATTGAAGAAAATATGATTAATAATGAGGCAAACTGAATCTGCTCCCCACAAAATAAGATGCAACAGAGGAACTCAGCATCCCTTTTATAATAATCCTGCCCAAATTGCATATCATGGTTGTAATCACAAGAAAACTCAGACCCAAATACAGGAACATTGTACAAAACAGCTGGCCTGAGATCTTCAAAAGTGTCTAGGTCATGAAAACAGAAGGCTGAGAATCTGTCCCAGACTGAGGGAGACAAGAGAGATGCGGTAATCAGATGCAATACATGATTTTTTATTTGTATTCTTATCCTATAAAGGGAATTTGGGAACAATTGATGAAAGTTGAATGGTTTCTGAAGATTAGATGGTAGTAATGTAAAAATGTTTATGACCTGATTTTGATGATTATGTTGTGGTTCTATTAGGAAAATCTTCTGGATTGTAGGAAATTACACTAAAGCATTTGGGAGCAAGGGGCATCATGTCAGCAAATTATTTATAAATATTTCAGGGGGAAAAGGTCTTTGTGCTGTACTTGGAATTTTTCTGTTAGTCTGAGATTGTTTTGAAATAAATAATCCGATTTACTACATTTATAAGTTCAAAAATTCTAGTTACTTATACTTGAAGTATATGTAGAAAGTTTATTGTTCCATCTATAGATTTGATGAAATTTTAATCATTTTTAAGAGTTCTTCTATAGTTTAATTAAATTCCTTTTTAAGTAAATTTAATATAAATTTAAGTAAATTTAAAATTTTATTTGTGAACTTCATTCAATTTTCTAATTTCAAATTTTCAACTAACAAGGTTTATGTACATTTAAATAACTCTTCTAAGTTTAATAAATTAATCTTACGCTCTCTTAAAAGTTTCAATATAGTCTACCAGTTCCAATTTAAAATCATGTCTGAATTAATTATTAAAATGTTACATTTTAAATTGGAATAGTAAAGCTTACTTATTAGAAACTGTATCCTCTAATATGACACTTTTTCTTAAATGTTAAAACTATTTTAAATATCTTGGATTATAAGTTTTTAAAGTATTTAAAATACTTAATACATTTACAGATCATTCCTACACTTAATCTCAAGGTTTAAGCCACTAAAAGAATCAGGTATATCATAACAACTAAATTTTATGTTGGTCTCTGAACTGAATTTACCGAGAATAAATACTGAATGGAAATTTGAGTTAGGCTATAGGATTCATTTTCTAGAGCCACCATAACAAAATACCACAAACTGGGTGGTTTAAACAATAGAAATTTATTTTCTGACAGTTCTGGAGACAGATCTGGAGTTCCTGGAGTTCAAGATCAAGGTATCAGCAAGTTTGGTTTCTTCTGAGACCTCTCTCCTGTCTTGCAGGTGGCAGCCTCCTCGTTCCTTCTTCCCGTGGTCTTTCCTCTGCGTGGGCATCCCTAGTGTCCCTCCAAGAGTCAAAATGTCTCTTATGAGAACACTAGTCAGATTCATTAGAGTCCAACTTAATGACCTTACTGTAACTTCATTACCTCTTTCAAGGCTGTCTCAAAGTGCAGTCACATTCTGAGGTATTGGGAGGTAAAGTTCCAACTATCAATTTGGGGGGACACAATCCAACCCATGGGATGTGGATTACAAATATCCAGGACATTTTTCTCCTGATTAGACCCTCTCAGCCAATGCTAAGCCAGGTCTAGATCTCTGAGGGTTCCAATATCATGTCTTTCAATTGGTTGCCTTGCTGATCATGAGCCCTGGGTTCAAATGTCATCTATCACCTCATTTTGTCATCTGAGTTGAGATTGCAGGTTGACTGATATTCAGTGAATCTATGTCAGGTTTCATTCTATTTCTAAATTGTTTTTATACTCTTTCCATTAGCAAAGCCACAACTCTTATAAGTATTTAAAGGACATGTGATAGTATTGAGCATATCTCTCACATCTTGCCTTGCTTTGTGGTCACAGTTCTAAAGTCAAAGTAATGCTCCTACTAGAAACTGGAAATTCTCTTCATGGAAGCTCATTTCTTGCTCCCAGTAAAAGAAGAAAAAGCAGTAAGAGAACTGTTATGCTTCGGTCCAGGAAACACTAAGAAAGTAATTTTAACCTGAAGCTGATGATTGAATGCAGGGCCAGGTAAAGGGCATATGTGAACTGTATGTGAGAGTCAGCAGAACAGTGGGCCAAAGACACAGGACCAAGGAATGAGTGAGCTGACCAAAAATAAATGAAACAAAAAATTGAGCAATGCAGTAACGAGTAGAGTATTAAGAACCAGACTATTTGGCAAGCTGATGTTGGTAATTGGCCAAATCACTTTATCTCTCCAGACTTTGGCTCTTGAATGTCCCTTCAAAATCCAAAACATCTATGATTTCTCCATGCTGTTTTTCTAATCTATTTATAGACTCCCCTCAGTTGAATAGGATAGCCTTTCAAGTTTAACATAATTTTCTCCAAGTGATAGTTCAAGTGTATTATTCAAGACTCCGGTTGCAAGTGATGGAATCCAATTTGAACTTTTATTATGAAAACACGGAGGTGTCTCCCAGAACTAAGTAAAGGAATATATCTGCATCCCAGGAATAATCATAATCAAACCCTTGAATGCCATCAGAAATCCCACTCTGTCTCATCATTGTGTTCCTCCCTCTGCAACATTATTCTTCCAGCAAAAGAGCCTTTTTCTCCAGACACGCACACCTCTCTCTCTTTTTCTCCTTCTCATTCCCTTCCTACTTCCCACTTCCCTCCTTTACTTTACCCTTCTCTCCCAACCTTTCCTCCCTCTTTTCTTCCCTCCCTTCCCTTCTCTTTTTCCAAAGTCCAGAATCCCACAGAAGGGACATTTCACTGACTTCAATCACAAACCCAGCTCCCACTAAAATTAAAAATCTAAAATGGTCAAGCTGTGCAGAATTGTGTTCCATAATTATAGCAACTATGAAAACCTGGTGGATAAATGACACTTTAGAAAAGCAGGTAATTATTTGACACAACAATGCATCCAGTTCAGTGGAGCAGAAAGAGAATGCAGGAGAGAGGAAAGGGAGAAAGTCCCAGATGCTCAGGTACTCAGTCACTAGAGCAGCAGCTCATTCTTCCCCTTTTCATGGGTGGTAACAACAGAAGGAAAAGCAACACGGACATGTGACTGGATGAATATTCTCTTTGTATGCTTCCTGTTTTATAACAGAATTTTCTAAGATAAGCAATTATATACTCAAAACTATCTGATATATCACCAACCTCTTCAATTTTACTATATCTCAGAGTAATATGACTTAAACTATAGGCCATAACAATAAATAATCTTCATGTCAAGGAAACTGAAAGGAAATATCTACTCATTTATTTATGTGAGCCAGATACTCTTCGGAGCACAGTAATTCCTTCAAGAAATACACCAGCTTGGACTAAAAAGGAAGCTAAGAGAATGTATGTTTTTATTGTTATTGTTCTTGCTGCTGCTATTGTGAATAGATTTCCTCCTCAGTGACCAAGAG